TTAGAAAGTTACTTAGGTCCTAAGAAAACAATGAATCTACGGCTCACTTCTAATTTTAGGGAACAAAATTTCAAAAATCGACGGAGCTGAAAGTTGAGTCACCCATTTTACACTTTATCTTCTTCCTTTAGACCCTCGGTACTAGGCCTGGGCAAAATAACCAAACAGAAAGAAGCGAACCGGAACCGAAGCAAAAAGAACCGAACAGGAACTGAACCGAAAATTTAAAATACTCAAATGAATCCCAAATTTTAGAACTGAAAGAACCGGAACCGGAACCGAACCGAACCGAAATATTTCGGATACCTAAAAATATCTGAAATATGAGTTTATATCTAAAAATATTAGTTTTTTAGATCGAATAACCAAAAATACCCAAATAATCAACAAATATTTGAAAAATATATTAAAAAAATACTTATAATTTCCAAAAAATACTTGAAAATATGTGAAAATATCCAAAAATATCCAAAATACCTAAAAATATCTGAAATATATTTGAATGGATCCTAAACTTCAGAACCGAAAGAACCGGAACCAGAACTGGAACCGAACCGAAATTGTTCGGTTCTTATATGGATCCTAAACTCTAGAACCATAAGAACCGGAACCGAACCGGAACCGAATGGGTACCCGATTGCCCAGACCTACTCGGTATCTAAACGCCTTGGCGATGGTAAAGACAGATATCGGGTGCCTCCTCGATATCTTCATCAGGCTGAGGCAAAATCCATTAAATCTGGAGATATTACATTTTGTAGAAACAAGCATTAGAGAAGGTGAAGCAATAAGAGATTACCTGCAGTACTGAAGTAACCGCCAAAGGTGTAACACCCGATCCCACATCATTGGGCTATTTTGTTTTAACATTATGATATACTCCCTCCGTTTCATAAAGAGTGTCGTTTTAAGGTTTTATTTTTGTTTCACAAAGAGTGTCGTTTTAGGTTTTCAATGCAAAATTTAATGATTTTTTATGTTTTATGACTATTAGTATTCTGCAGATTGTTTTACTATTGGGCAGATTATGTTTAGGTATATAGTTAATGATGTTTTTGTTTAGAAAAAACAAAAATTTTAATGTTTTCTTAATCTGTGTGCAAAACTCTAAAATGACACTCTTTGTGAAACAGAGGGAGTATCTCATTTAAGACCCATGTGAATGAAAATCCACAAAAATGACATGTATATGGATATATGTGAGCATCTCCCTCTCCGTTAAGATAATTAAAACCTAGCCGCTTTTGTCGTGAGCATTTGCCATCGACATCATCGTCTTGTGCGTATCTTGTTCCACACATATCATGAGTATCCAGCACCAACATCCAACATCATCTCATCACTGGACCAAACCCTAAACCAGAGAGGAATATTAGATTTGAGAATAAAAAGTAAAGGGGGCAGAGAAGAGAGAGATTGTGACGAGAAGGTTACGGTTGTAGCCATCGGAACCAGTAGAGTTAAGATGCAAACCTGATCATGAATCGAAAAGAAATAAAGATGAGAAGAAATGGGTATAAGGGAGAAGAGAGATAGAGAGCCAAGAGAGTTTTTCGTGAGAAGAGGAGATAAAGCGAGACGTCGCAGAGGTGGTGAAAACCACCGCTGGATCTGGCTAGTTATGTTATTGTTGTGGCAAGCCTCTATAGTGATGGAGGAGCAACGCCGGAGCAGATCAGAAATGGAGAAGAAAAGAAAAAAGAAGAAGAAAGACAAGGAAGAAGCAAATTAAGATAAATCTGGATAGGGTTTTGTAAGGCTTATTCAGAGAGAATCAGATGACGTGGAAGGTGTCTCTGGAAAGCTCGAGTTGTCAAGAATCCATAGCAACTGATGGAGTTCGAATCAAGGTTATATTCGAGAAGTTATGCATATTTCTTTCTGGACAAGTAACTGAAGAATCTGGTAAATCTGGAATCCTAGGAAACAATTTCGTGTTGGCTTCTTTGACTCAACGTTTGAGGCCCGAAACTATGCTGATCGAGACGAAATTTGGTGTGCTTCATGGTACTTCTGGCTAAATATTCAACGGTGGGATTACGTTTCTAACGGTTAGAATTTGAGTTATACGTATGTTTCCATGACAGTTCTGTTTAGAGTAAACTGTAACGAGTTTTATTGTTTGGTTGAGTAAACGAGCTCAAGAGCTTTGCAGGACCTATCATGACTCATGGAATAAGGTCTTAGTTGATGGAGGACCAAATTGGAGCTAAAGAGCATGTTGTTGCATATAAGATATAAAGTATGTCTAAAAGAGAAAGGAGAAAGAAATGTTCTTCGTTTTCAACTAGGCTAAGATGAGGGTGGTATTTGCGGATATGCAGTAACCTCTTTCTTTATATTACTCTTCGATAGTTGTTGAGTATAGGCTCGAGAATTGTCTTTGTTGATTTATGTGAATTTTGTGTAAGATAAAGTTAGGTTGTTAGTAACATGATATGTTAAATGCATTAGTGACATGATTTGATATCATGTTTGACAGACATTAAATTATAAAAATGATTATGTATATGTATATGAGAAAAAAAAACTAAAGAGTATGAGATTGGACTATAATGGACTATAATGGACTACGGGTTCACTGCATGTCATTAACCGCTGACGAGCAATAAAGGGAGTGATCGAGCTACGGACCATGGTCTTCCATAAATAGGTTTGAGTAGCCATGAGTTAAAAGCGGCTTGAGTAGCCATAAGTTAAAATACTTAAACCTATATATGAGCAAGACAAATGCTTGTTTCTTTGATTGATAGACATTCTAAATCTATCTAAGTAGTTGTTGTTGATTATGTTTGGAACGTGTTTACTATAAGTCCAGTGGACATAGTTGATCTCCTCAATGAGTAAAATTGTTTTACTCACCCCTTTTCCCCTTTTTCTTAAGGTTAGTAAGTTTCAAAAGTTGCAGTTTGAAGTTTGTTCGTTGGTGAATTTTAAAGAAAGGAATAACTGATAAAAGGCTTCTTTAAAAAACTGTCAAAAGATCAAGACTGTAGTAGCAGTCAGTGCCGGCCCGGAGGACATGCCACACAAGCCACCGCTTGGGGCACCACTTTTTTTTTTTTTTTTTTTAAGGTTTTTCTTTTTTTTTTTTGGAAAAAAGGCCCAATTTTAGAAAAAAAAAAAGAATTAAGCCTATAAAATGAAAAATATTTGGTAGAAACTAAAGCCTTTTCGAAAAAAATAAATAAAATAGGGCCCAAACAATTAAATTTGAATGTAATAATATTCAAAATATCATTATTTTGTATAATTTACTAAAAATAGGTCAAAAAAAAACTTTTAACCCTAAAACTTATAAATATATTGGGCCTCATTTTATTTTTCGTGTAGGGCCTCACAAATGCTCGGACCGGCACTGGTAGCAGTAACTAATAAAAACATGAGTGCTGACATTTAATAATCCGCAACTAGCCGCCTCCAATATAGCTATACATAAGGCTTCTTTAAAGAACTATCAAAAGATCAAGACTGTAGTAGCAGTAACTGATAAAAACTAGTGTAAGTTTTGTGAATTTTATACATATAAAGTGTAAGAATCAGCACATCTGATGAGGAAAATATGACCAGTTACCATAACAAAGCGCACACGAGAATGTGGAACTGCACCCAGCATTTCGACTCTATTTTTCTATAATCGCACATTTTTTGGTCCATTCCCTCCAGCTACAAAACGAACCATTTAAAAACCGAATAAAAGAAAAGTAAATGTGGATATGTTAAGTGATATTTTTAACACATTTTCTAGGTTTCTTTTGTTTATTTATTAGATTCTTTTAGTCGAGAATAAGTCGTGTTCGATATTTTTGAGTGTTTTCAGGATTCTGGGATTCGCGAAGCAGAAGTGGGCTTTTTAAGAAAAAAATGTATCAAAAAGCGTCCAAAGAAGAGATGATCCATTAAAAGCCTGACTGATTAAAAAATTAAACTGACCGGTTAAAAAAGACGCCGCACACCGATCGGTTGCGCCTGTCCACCAATCGGTTGGGCTTTTGTTAAATTTCTTTCTTCTTTTTTTTAGGACTGCGTCGAAAGAGATTGCCATAGAGATTGTCCTGAGAGATCGGCTCCGTCTTCGGTGGCCCATTTGGCCCATTATATTTTCAAGAGGGTCTTCTTCTGTTAACCGTAGAGGAACAAGTTTTTCTTCGTTATTTTGTAAGGCCTTCTCGAGCTAAGTAAGGTCTTCTTAATTATTTTCAGCTTGTTTAACATGCATTTTACATAAAGAAAAGTGCCAAAGGATTCTGTAACAAGTAACAACAAGGTTAGTCTGAATCCTTGTTTGAAAAATCGCTAGGCGCTAGTCGGGCGTTCGGCATGGGCCTAGCGATTAATCGGAAAATCGGAAATTAATCGGAGATTAGTTTTAGGGTTATTTTAATTTTTTTTAAATATATTAATCCAATATTGTAAAAATTTATGATTTTTATTACAAATTTATGATTTTTATTAAAATTTGAACACAAGTTATTGTAAAACATCACAAACTCCCCATTCAAATGATTGAATAACAAAAATAAAAGGTGTTTTTATACTTGCAATCTAAAAAATAATCGGAGTATATAAGATTAGGTGGAAAATAATCGGATTAGGCGGGAAATAATCGGATTAGACGGAGAATAATCGGTTTACTGATTTTTTAGGGGATTAGTCACTAATCGAAGCGGATAGGGTGGGCCTAGCGATTAAGCGGAGAATAATCGGGACTAGGCGTAGATTTTTAGAACAGGTCTGAATCATTACTTTGTGAGATGCTAATCAATATAGTGCGTGAACGTGAGTCAAAACCACATGTTCATCATCTCATAGCTCTATGAGGGTTGGAAAAAAGAAGACAAAGTCACCCAAAGCCGGCCATAAACTTGGCAGACAAGAATGGCTAGACCTGTAGAAACATCAAAACCATGACGAACCAAACCCAATTCTACTCATAATCAAATCAATAATGGATGTCAAATCTAAATACCAATGGGGAGAGGCAAATTTTATAACCAAACTGAAGAAAATCATCAAATAAAGCTTAAAATGATATGATTAAATTTACATTAGCATGTTTGTTTCTTGCTCTTCTTCATCATCATGTGTGTGGGTTTCATTCAAACACACAAACCAAACAACAACAACAAACAACAAACTCAAATCTTCTCAAGCTTATCAGCTTTCACAATCGGATTCGCCTTAGCGATCTTATCCTTCCCAATCCTCTTGAAATCAAACGAACATTCATGCAGCTCCGCGTACCTATGTGTCCCACAGAAAACGAAGCCACACCTACACCGAAACCCCGTTATTCCCACCCGCCGCCGACAAGTCAAACACCGCTTCGGATCTTGCGACGGCGCCGCTTCCTCCTCCTCAGCCGCCGCTCGTTTCTTCGAATTCGCTTCGACGATTTCTTTCGAATCAGCTTGAGGCGGTGGTGATACGGAGGAGGACGCGGTACCGCCACCTGTAGAAACGGCGGCTAAGGTTTGGTTAAGAGCGTGTTTAGCGGTGGAAGAGTTTTGTTCTTGATGTTGAACATCTCTGAAACATTTAGAACAAAGATTTTGTGTAGCGGTGCTTCCAAAGAAACCACAATTCTTAGCACATAATCGTGGTTCTTGAAGCCTGTGTTCTTCCGCCATAACCTTCGAATATATGAATCAAAACTCCGGCGAGATTCTCTACAAAATTATACCGATCGATGATCGAAAAAAGTAAGAATTCAGATCTCAAAATCGATAGATCTGTGGTCTAATCTCATCAAAAAAAAACAAAAAAGAAATCATGGATCGGCGAAAAACAACAAATCATTACCTGTGAAAAAAGCGATTTATATATCTGTTCGATTCTTGAAAGAAAAAAAAAACGAAGAAGAAGAAGAAGAGAGAATCTGTATTTAAAAGAAGAGAGAAATCAATGGAATATGGAAAGGAATCGAGAGATGAGAAAGGAAAGATGAGGAGAGATGGGAAAATTAACGACGAAGCAATCGATAAAATTAAATTATTGTTTTTTTTTTTTTTGGCCGTAAAAATGGAAATTGGACGACAATTTGTGGAAAATGGTGTTATTTGGCTTTTGGGTTGGCCGTTGAACTATTCCAGAAGCTCCTACATTATTCTCTGTCTTTTTAACAAATTGTACTACCAATAAATGTAGAAATTTCATAAAATAAATGTCATATGGAAACAAATTTTCAGAATCTAATAGTTGAATTTGTTTGTTGTGGATATTAGGGTTCAGGGTAGGTGATTCGGTCACTAGGGAATGAACATGATTCGACTTCGTTCGGTGTACACGGAATAGGTACTGAAGAGGAGGATTGTTCTTGATCGAAAGTTTTTATGAAAGATAAATGGAAGAGAGATGTTGAACATTGATATTCGACCATTTTCGGAATCTAATAGTTGAATTTGATGGTTGTGGAGAACGAACATGAATCGACTTCATTCGGGTATACGGAATTGGTTCTTTAATTCGACTGTTGATTTGCCTTATGTTATCGCATTCACACTGAAGTATTGCATTCTTTTTATAGTACAGTTAAGATCAACTGTTCATTATATGATAACAATGAACCAATCAAGGTTAAGCCTCCTCTTCGTCGCCAAGATTAGAGTTCACTTTTTCCTTACAAATATCACAAGTAATCTCATATGGCTGTCCTTCCAATTTGGTCACACCAAGATCACCATTCTTGATCAAACTAGATTGCTAACATCATCAAATCACATAGGTAACATGACTTATCAATCCCTGATCGAATCAATTAGTCTCACTAATTGGTTTGATCATTTTTCTTTAATCTTTGCATTTAAGCTGTTTTCCTTTGTTAAAACCAAGATTCACTATTTAAAAGCCATGATTTGTTCCAGACACTGTCTTGATTATGAATAGGAATTTCTCTTAGAGCAATTTTTGCTTCTCGTTGACACTTATATCAGAGTTGTCTTAACCACAGTCTTGTGGTGTCTATCTATCCTTGAGTCATCATTCATTCGGATTTCTGACGAGTTAGCATCTAGGTATCTCAATCATAACCTAAGCCTTACCGGTCCTGAAGCTTATATAATATGACACTTGAATGTCTTTGCTACAGTGTCATCAAGAGCTCATTACTTATTCATCATGTCCGGAAACATTGTCTAGTGGTAATATAGAGAACACTATCTATCTACTCTATGTAAAATCCAAATGAAGGTTTAAATCATGGAATCAGCCGAACTGTAGAGGTATGAATCCAATTGCTTCAACAAAGACCACATGACAAATCTACCGAGGGGAATGTTTCCCAACTTATCCTTGATTATTGGTGCATAAAACTAAACCAGTGCATGTCAGAAATAAATACCAGATGTAAAATCGACAAAGGATCTGATTTAAAGGGCTAGTGTCAGGTTTCATAGCTTTTGATCAAAAGATAGAAAGCATAACTAAAGGCTGACCGCAACAATGTAAGCATTCCAAGAATCACACTGTTGAAAGCTCTTGACTTGTTCGTACTTGATATCACGTCCAGCACCAAACCCATCTGTTCTACGCATTTCAGAAGCGTCCGGCATTTCTCTGAGCCAGAAATGGACTGAGCTAAACCCAGCTTCCTCCATACAGTCCTTTATCTCCGGTAATGACCACCTACACATACATGAACAGACCAGGAATTACTTCTCAGGAACTTAATGTGATTCACAGATTCAAGAGTGCAAGTACAATAAATCTATGGACAATAAGGAAAGCAGGAATATTGTCTTGCCCGAATATAACATTCAATACCATTTCACTGCTACTTATTTGCTAACATATCAGCTACATTCGAGCACATGTTTGTGTAAGTTTTTATCCATAGTGGCTGCACTACAGAATCTCTACCACACCCAACCAACCAAAATAACCAAAAGCCAACGCTTATCAAGTTATCTAAAATGATAAGCAAACTCCTAAGTATTAAATATGCTGTTTTTCGTTACTGAGATTTTCTTAAGGCTTGTGGGAGATAGAGTAATGACTGTCCCACTTTGGAGAAAGAATGGATGTGGAAGCAGACTACAGGACACTTACAGTCTCCAGCTATATGAAAAAGCATGGCGAATCTTTCTGTTCTGCTTCTGAAGGTGATAGTGCAGACTGATCCTTGTCTTGCGACTTAAAATGTCAAACTCAGCCTGCTCCCATGTATACTGCCAAATGATATGGACAATCGTTAATACTGTTATTCCTATAAAGTTTGACACCCTTTTGTACCAAATGAAAGTATAAGAATGAATTCTTACAGTGAAATTTGGGAATTTCCGTTGAAGCTTCAACTGTCCCTCAGCAGAAGCACCTCCATATAAATCCATCACGAAAATACCACCTTTCTTGGACAAAGCATCACGTGCATTCTTGAAGTAAGAAACCAACTCCGAGCGTTCCTGGAGACAACAGCAACTAAAATTAAAAGCACACACGATATCCCTCTTCGGTAACGAATCAGGTCCATCTTTCTCTAAAGATTCGACAACGCTAGGATCAACCAAATCTTCATTATCATCACCATCATCCAAGCTTATATTTTGTATCAGCTCATGGGATTTAGATTTCACTTGCTTAGCCTCAAGAGGACTCAAAACATTCCCATGAAAAAGCGACATTCTTGAATACACGTCAGAACCAAGTTTACTAATGTTGTTATCCATGCACCATTCTAACGCCTCAAGGTCAAAATCTAGCCCTATAGCAGTCCGCCTTGTGTCAGTCTTGAGCCACTCCGCACTATTTAAACAATCAATGCAAAACTTATTCACCAACTACAGCATTCAAGAAACCAAAAGCTAAAATTTTCACCATTAAGTGAAACACACACCTTAAAAGAGCAGTGCCACAAAAATCTTCTTGAAAATGGAGAGGTTGTCTTCCACCAACATACATTAAAAAGAACTTCTGCAAGTAACTTATGTCTCCTTTTGGTGACTGCAGCAAACACATACAATACAATGAAAGACAAGAACAAATGTTAAAAGCTTAGTGCTTGATGAAAGAAGAAGAACAGTGAAACACACACAAGAACCACTCAATGGAATCTAAAAGGCTATAGGCACAGAATTGCAATTACCTGAACAGATTGTTGGTAAAGAAGAAACTTTGACGGCAAATCCGATGATTCGTTTCCTTCATTACAGTTTTCGTCTTCTTCTTCCTCAGAGTTTTCTTCATCTTCGTCGTCGACGGAGGCAACAACCGGCGGGTGTTGATCGTAGAAATCTTCAGTATCATTCGAAAATTCACCTTTGTGGCGACGTCGATTAGGTTTTTTCTCTCGTTTCCCCATTTGTCGTCCAAATTGGAATTCAAACCAGAGAATAGAGCAGAGGCTCAGAGCGAGGAAGAAGAGAAAAGCGTTGACTTTTGCGTTTAGTGTTGAAGAAAGTGCCCTAAACTATGCCACGTAGGCCCTATTGCTCTTGCGTTCCGTATACCGGTTTAGTGGTTTTTTTGTGATCAAAGACCGGTTTAGTGGTTCGGATGGTATTTATGTGGTTTTTTTTTTTTGGTTTTTTGATAACCACGTGGTTTAGACTTTAGAGCAACTTCAACTTAGGCCTGGACAAAAAAACCGTACCCGAGTACCCGAACTGAAACCGACCCAAAAAAACCGGTTCGGGGCGGGTACGGGTATTAGCTATTTATCCTATTGGGTCTTATATTGTCGTACCCGTGGGTATAGGGTAAAACCCGATCCGAACCCGATACCCGAACGGGTACCCGATTACCCGAAATTACTTATACTTATACATATAAAAACTTTATATATATGTAATATTTGAGCTAAATACATTTATATCCAAATATCCGAGAGTAATTACCAAAAATTAAATGCACTTATATTTATATATTTAAGACTAAATATATTTATACGCGAGATGCTTGTAAATTTTTTAAATATTTGGACAAAATTCTGGTTATTCGGATAAATTTTTGGGTGAAACTCGGATATTTGAGTAAAATTGCGGATAAAATTTGGATATTAGAGTAAAATTTCGGGTATTTGGTAAAATTTTGGGTATTTGGGTATAAAATACCAGAACCCGATGGATGCCCGATTTTTTCGGGTATTTAGCAGTTCTAAAAATCTAAACCTGAACCGACCCGAACCCGATTAGACCCGAACCGAAACCGAACCGATATTTTAGATTTACCCTATTGGGTCCTAAACTCCTCTACCCGAAAGACCCGTACCCGATCGGGTTTTACCCGAACCCGACCCGCATACCCGAATGCCCACCCCTACTAGATGGTGTTTCGGTGTGGCGAAAATGGTTTTCCCGGGTGTTAGATTATTGTTTTAATATCTATATATACATTTTTGGATCATAATTAGCAAATAAATCCTGAAGTTGAAAAGTATTTACAATGACATGCCACTAGCATTAATTATTTAGATTTATTTTATTTACGTAAAGATTTTTAATTGAAATTCATTTCTCATATATTTAGCAAAA